CTAGAATCCCCCAGTGAGGGGCTGGGGTGTGGCTCAGTGGTAGAGCCTCTGCCTGGAATCCCCCCAGTGAGGGGCTGGGGTGTGGCTCAGTGGTAAATGTTTGCTTGTAATGAGAAGTTTTGGGTTTAACCTACAGCACTACAAGGAAAGAAAAACACACACACACATACTGCAACCAGGGCTGGGGGCACATATAAATGTGGCCGGTGTGAGCCTCATCATCAGCCCCGCCCCCCACCCCCTGCTTACCCAGAGTCTGGGACTTTTGGGTCCATCTCCCTCCATCCAGGTCACCAGCAGCCTCCACCCCAAATGCTGCAGGCCTGGCATCCACAATGGGGCTCCTGTTCCACTGACCTTTTGTCCCTTCTGCCAGAGCCTGCAGTATCTGGGGCCCGATGTCCCCTCCTAGCTTTGGGTGGGTGGCAATGATGGTGCATATGGGTGAGTACTTATGGTAGGGAGAGCCTAGCCCAACCAGGCCAAACTGGTCCCTTTCAACTGATCAGCACCCTGCAGAGTCCCATATAGCACAGGAGAGAAACAATCGACCCAAATGGGTAGCAGTGTCAGTGGGAATTGACAGTCCCTGTCCCAGGGGCTGGAGACACATCTGGTCACACTACCCATCCCTTTGACCATGTTTCCAGCATGGGAAAACTATTCCTAAAGTCACATTGTAATAGCTTACTCTTCTAACCCCTCCAGGCAGGAGGCAGAGGAAGGATTACCTCAAATTTAACCCCAGCCTGGGCTACAGAGTTCTAAGCCAGACTGGACTACGCAAATCCATGACAGGCAGGCAAGGAACAAAGCCAGACAGACTGAGAAATGGAAAGACCTACTCTAGATCAATCACCTATACCCAAAAGGACAAGATGGCAGGTTTCCAGAGACCCCCTCCACATGCTGTCTGAGGGACCCGAGGCCCCTGGTAGACTGTCCCTGCTGCTAGCCAACCTCCTGCTCAACCTCTGAGGGTGGACTGCAAGCCTAGCGAGCACCCCAGACAAGCCCATGGAACTCTGGGAAAAGTCCATGGCTTTTGATGGGGTGTCCAGTCCTGAAAATGTGGGGTTTGTTCAGCCAACTCTCCCTGGAACTCTTTAAGCCAGACGTCAAAGTCAACTACAGATGTCCGGGTTGTGGGGCACAAAGGAGCTGCTGAGTGTAGGTCCTTACCAAGAAAGGTGTCCTCCTGGCACCTCCCTTCCACTGGGGCCAAGGGTCATGGCAGGGTTGGGGGTTGAGATAGATTTACTAGGATGGAAGAGTGGGGTCTGAAATCTTCACACATGATCCCAGGGACCCTGCATCCCCCGAAAGTATCATGGCTACAGAAGCCTGGCTCTGTCAGAAGCGGATGTTGTCCTCAGAGTCATTCTAGACCCTTAGTTGTCGCTAGAGCCCAGAAGATCCCACTATCTGCACCCACTCAGCCACCCAATGGTCACATGTTCAGTCAAAGGGCTTCAACCTGTTGGAGCCAGTTTTCAGACTGGAGACCAGCTTGGAGCAGTTCTTAACTGGTGGGTTGTGACCTCCCCTGGGGGTCGCATCAGAAATCTTGTATACTAGATATTTACATTATGATTCATAGCAGTAACAATTATGAAATAACAACAAAATGATTCTATGGTGGGGGAGGGGTCACCACAGCATGAGGAACTGTATTAAAGGGTTACAGCAGTAAGGAAGTTGAGAACCACTGGTCTGACTGACAGAATACCAAAGGCTCCAGCACCAATATCACAGAAATGCACACACACACAAGACAACCAGACTTCAACCACATTCTTAAGTCGCACGCCCAGAGAGGGGACTAAACCTCTGGGGTCTGGAAACCCTCCACCATCCAGCAAGGAAGCGAGCAACCGTATCCTCTAAAGCACAGAAGGACACACAGGTCCAGAAGGGAACAGACTCGAGTTCCACTGTCATCTATGTAAACAGTGACAATGCATTCAAATTACGGCCCCAAAAATCTCTCATGGTGATATGTGGCTAGTTCCTCTGAATTAAAACATGTCTTCTTAGAGGGAGCTAGGAAGACTCAGAAAGCCTATGAAACTTAAAAGGCTTGGGAAGCTCAGAAAGTTACAAGATTCATAAGTATCCCTCCACATATACATTTAAATAGTAACTACTGTAAAGGGAAAACTCTTTACCAGAGCAGGGGAGAAAGTTCTAGAGATGCAACTCTCTCCAGTCAGTGCTAGGGTGGGTGTTCCTGTGGAACATCTGCCTTTGAGCTACCCACATTCCTCTAAGCAATCAAAGTGACCTCATTGGCTCAGCAAGCTGGACTGTGGTGGACAACCTTCTTGTAGTGCCCAACCTAGATGCTATCCTATCCAGGATGAAGAGACATTTGTTCACAACTCCCCAATGACACAACAAGGGACCTGAAGCACAGTGTGACCACTGAGTATCCCACAGTCCCTCCTGGGGGTGTGTGTGACTGAAACCAGCCCCCTGGCCTATATGGAGCTGTGTGCTAACAACCCTAAGCCACGTGCCTACCCTGATTCTCAAGCCGATCCATCAGCCCAAGAGCATTTAGCAAGACTGGCTTACCTTGACACTGCGGTGGTGGACCCTTGAGGGCTGGCACTTGACGCTGCTGGTGTTACAGCAGCCGGTACAGCGCTTCACCTCCACACATGGGGGCCAGATCAGGAAATTGGCTGACGTGGGGTCCACCTGGCTCCGAGGTATCTCGTAAATGACCGTCCTGGTCTTGCAAACTGCGGGAATGGCTTCCTCTACAAAGGCAAGAGTATCATGAATAAGAAAAACTAGGAATCTACCTGTAACACACAAAAATAAGACCTCCGATCTCACAATCCAGAGACGGCCACCTAGGCTGCACCTGGGCAGAATCTACCCTGCGGCAGCCCCTAGTATGAAAGGACATGCTGGTTGCCAATAGGTCCGTGAATGTACAGGGCTGAAACTCACATCAAAGCTACGGACATGGTTCAAGGCCAACCTGGGCAATTTAAGGAGGTCTTATCTCAAAATAAAATGTGAAGTCAGCTGGGAAAATGGCTCAGGGGTAGAATATCTAGAGCCCCCAATTGAGGGTTGGGAATGTGTCTCAGTGGTAGAGCCCCTGCCTAGAATCCCCCAGTGAGGGGCTGGGGTGTGGCTCAGTGGTAGAGCCCCTGCCTAGAATCCCCCAGTGAGGGGCTGGGGTGTGGCTCAGTGGTAGAGCACCTGACTAGAATCCCCCTGGGAGGGGCTGGGGTGTGGCTCAGTGGTAGAGTATTTGCCTACCATCCACAAGCCCTTGGTTTTGTCCCCAGTACCCTTTCTTGCCTTTGCAAGCCAAAGGGTGGGGGACATCAGAGGAGCAGCTCAACCCTAATTTCCACATAGCCCAGGTCAGAAAACTACACTTATTTGTGTCCCTGAGAACAGCCAGTCTGGGGCCATCTGCTTGGCAGGTGTGCATAGCAGATAAGAAATCCCCTCAGGACCCGGGGACACACACCCTGCTCCTCTTCAGGCAGTCCTCATTAACCCCATTTAACCCTAGACACTGTTGCTCACTATACATAGTGGCTGCCTGGTAACGTCTTTGGAAGTAGCCAGTGTGGGGAGAGATGGCTGAGGTACCAGGAAGGCTCTGGGGCCTATCCACTGACTGACCTATCAACACTGAAGGGGACCTAGACTCTATCTATACTCAAGAGCTGAAAGGAGTGATGTGCCAGCTAACTAGCAGGAGTGAACCACACCTAAGAGACACAAGAGATATGCACACCACCAGCTGGAAAACACTCCAGAAGAGCTTCACAGCTGTCTTCAGACTCCCTGGGGGTGAGGGGGAAAAGCATGAATGAACAGGGATGGTAGACCAGACTTCAGACTCCTCCCTGCCCTGGGGGGGGGGGGCAGCATCGGCCTTCTGGATGTGAGTCCCTCCAACACAGAGGCCCCAAACACTGGGCCAGGCACACTGCTCTGGGCTCCCGGGCTTGGCCACTCTGTGTTTCTCATGACAGTCCTTGTAGAGAGTCTTCTAAGTGGGTCTTTCGTAAGGGCCTCAGCTTGCAGTCAGTTCCCCTCAGCTCGGTAGTGAGTAGGGATTCTATAGTCCTAGCTGGATGACTGAGGTTTGGTTGGAAGCTACCATCTATTCTCACCTCAGGAATGTTCCCTGACAACTAGGAATAGATTTAAAAAAAAAAAAAATCTACCCTTTTACTGGTAACTAAATCTCAAGAGGGATCCACTTACACAGAATCACATATTCCACCCTATGAAAAAAATATACAGGCCTTCGGAGAATATAATTTTTTTTTCTCCCCAGAATGAGGGCCAGGTGGAACCCTAGAGCCAAAGGTGAGTGAGGTGAGGTCTATGGAAGAGGTGTCCTCCAGCTGTGGGCCCCAGTACTATCCAGGCTACACCCAGCTTCTGCAGCTGAAGCCCAGGAGCATGCTGGAGCTCACATCAGGAACTAGACATTAAGCATGGCCACATTTTCCAACGAAGCCTCCTTGCAGACAGGCCCTGACAAGACTGGGCACCTAAGGAATTTGTAATGTTCCCTCCTGGAAACTCTTGGCCCAGGCACAAGACTGCAGAAGGGCAGGCAGGAGACACTATAGAGGAGAAAGAGGGCTGCCTCCATGGGGAGGGCGAGGGGCCAGCGAAGCCTTTGTTTGGTGGAGGAGGGATGTGTGGCTGTGCCCCAGGCCTCAGAGTTAGCAGGGAGCACTCCCAGCTCTGGTGGGAACCTGCCCCCTCCCAGCTGCCGCACGACCTTCCTCGCTCACCAATACTTCTCTTCCTGCGAATGGGCACAGGCCGCTTCTCAGGCACATGCTTAACGGCGTGGGACCCACGGGCTCTCAGGCTTGTCTCCAAGTCATCCTCAGCCCCTAAAAGTAGAAAGAAAAATACGGTAAAGAGCCCACATTTCTGTACCATACCCCTGGGTCCTACACAGCTGAGGCTTATACAGCAGGTTTCAGAGCAGGAGGACAAAGGGCCCAGTCCCCAGCCTCAGACCCTCTGCTCGCTGGCTCGCATAAGGTTGACAGATGTGCCTTCAACCATCTCCCCTATTATCATGTCAGTATGCATGTCCCCAAAGTACAGCTCTCCTGTGAAACTCTGAAGTTCTTTCAGGAAGGCATTCAGGTACTCTCCCTTATGAGTCTGAAGGGAACCCTTGAGGACTGCGCCAGGTCAGGAAAGTCCCAAGGCCACCCAGCTGGGCCCAGTTCTGGAGCAGTACCACTATCGCCTGTGAAGCAAAGATGGGAAGGGTGGCTGCCTCTCCTGCTGTTGTGTGTACAGCGCCTCCCTCTTGTAAAGCAGGCTTTGATGAAATGCCCTAACCTCTGAGGGGCATCGGAAGCAACGCCAGACTGGGCTGCAAGCCAACCTCCACTGTTCCTGAAATAAGCCTGCTCTGAGGGCCAGAGGCCATGAGAAACAGCAAAGGGGTGCGGCTGGAAGCTGAGAGGAGTGAGGCTAGAGTCCCCAGGGCGGGTGAATAAGGCAGTGAGGCATACAGAGAGGGCGAGCAAAGCAACAGCACCTGAAGGAGGGCCACTAGGTGTTTAGCAGAGGGAGAGCCACCGACAGAGGACAGAGTTAAAGGTCAGCCTGGAGAACCTAGCCCCAGAGACACACTGGCCGGTAACAGAGGAAGAGGCTGCTACACTGGCCCCAAATTCTGCAATTCCTGGAGACAAGAGGACACAGAGCCCTGTCACATGATGTGCAGACATTATCAGCCCCAGATATAATTAATCTACCCCTCGCTTTCTCAGCCTATACCATGCAGAACTCAAGCAAAGTTCTCCCTCCTTCCCTCTCCACTTTTTCCCCAGGGACACTCTCCCCTGCACAATCCCCCATGGGTCCCAACGCTTAGTGACATCTTATCCAAATGGACAATCCTCTGATACAAAGCCTACTAGGTACCACACCATCCACAACCAACAGGAGACACGCCAGCCTCCTCCACCCTGAGACATCTCCTACCCACACATTTAAGATAAAAAGCAAAGACTCGCCTAAGGTGTGAATGTCAACGATGAATCTGAGCCCAAAAAACTATTTAAAATGACTCAATGTTCCAATGGCACCGATTTTATTTTAAGACCCAAAATAAGATCAGAACTGCTCATGCAGTAAAAAGTTCCCACCAACCAACTGTTACAAAGAAGCATCTCTTCACAAAAAAGTGACACGGTGAGTCACGACCTAGTGATGACCACCCTGCTGTATGACCAATCCAACAAGAAATGAATGGGCCATCCACTCACAGGACCTGCGAGAGTAGGCAGTGGTACCAACTGTGGTCCTCTGATACCTCACTTGCCTTAACGTGTACATGGTAGGTGTCACTGACTTTGCAGTGGCCAGGGCTCTAGAGTCCAGAGAAACTGAACAAGACAAGCACAAGTCAGAGAGGCAGGTTATGGTGAATCCCTTCACCCAGCAGGTAGAGGAAGGAGAATGAAGAGTTCAGAGTTCAAGGCCATCCTCAGATACAAAGTAAACTCAAAAGTCAGCCTGGGACACACAAGATCCAGTCTCAAAAAATTAAAAACAAAACTAAAACTCAGAAATAAAGACCAAAAGAAAGCTGGGACCCTCCAAGGCCCAGCGCTCAACAGGTCCAATTCCCCAATCCAGTGTCTCCTGATTGAACTTCATGCAGACAAACTCAGCCATAGAGACTGGCCACAGCTCCTACTCAGACAAGCCCACCTTCTGCCTCCCCCCCACCCCAGATCAAGATAGGTGATCATGAGCCAGATGTGGTAGCATAACAGAAGGATCTGAAGCTCAAGGCCACCCTTCTCAAGAAACAAAAACAGGTTGGTGATGTAGTTCATCTGAAAGAGGGTCCAGAACACACAAGACCCTGGGTTCCGTCCCCAATACTGCATTAGATAAGTACCCTGATGAGTGTTTGCAAACTTATTCCTCTGGAAGTAGAGGCAAGAAGATATCCTTGGCAACATAAGGGAACTCAAGGGTAGCCTGGGCTACGTTGAGACCACAGCTTTAAAATAAAAAAAGTAAATAAGTTAACAAACAGTCACAAGCTAACTGTTTGACCCACCACCGTGGCATCTTTGATGTATGCCAGATGGGTTCTTTGGAAGTCTAAAGATGTTATCCTGTGTGACACAGCTGAGTCCAGCATGAATTAGTGGCCAAGCCCCTTTCAGGTCAAAGTCACCTCCCTTTATCCCATGCGGATGTGTGAGTGACAATGTCTGGTTACTAGAGAAAGGACAGACAGAGTCCATTAGCCCTGTCCTGGCTACAATATTGTGAGTAGCCTGGGATGGGATGTTTATGTATCAGTTACTCAATGACCCATGGGCGCCTGGCCAGCAACTCTAGAGAACAAAGCTCCCGTTACACCCCACACACACACATGCTCATGATCGACCTGAACTTCTGAGCTGCAGTTCACAGCAAGGCTGCATGCCAGTAATGGGTCTTTGGACCCAAAAGCCACCCTGGAAGGACCACTTAGAGCTCCTTGACTCTGCCATGGAATGCTCGGGGCTCGGGGACATTCTTGGCAACGTACTGGAATCTTGCCACCTCTGGAGCTGGGCCACACAGCCAAGGAGCTCCAAGGTTGGGAGGAGATGCCTTCAGGGTTTCCCCATCTGGAAAATGGGGATGCTGCCAGCTCACTAGACAAGCCGTGTGCCAATCACAAAGCCCCACCCACTTGGGTGAGGAGTTGGCTGGGGAGCCTGGGACACCCCTAAGCTGCTCTCTGCTCCATGCAACCTAGATATAGAGACAGCAAGAATTCACCTGGAGAGGCCATCCTTGGAGATGTCCCAGTGAGTACCCCTTCCAGCTGACTCTAAAACTGACTACCACAGCCAGCCATCTGCAGCCTCCTCTAGCAGCCAGAGCCACAGGGCACCTCACTTCAAGAGGAGACAGAATGTGAATGACAGCCAACCAGCCAAGACTAGTTTCTAAGTAGTTTCCACATCAGAGCAGAGGAACAGCCCAGCAAGGAAGACCCCACTTTGGGTTGGTGTCACAGTGGGTCCTCCAGCCCTGACTTCCTAGAAGTCCACACCCACACTTGGCTTCCAGAAGTTTCTAAGGGAGACCCCCAAATGTCAGACAGGTTGAATGAGGGTGGGGATGTCCTAAATACACACACACACACACACACACACAACCACCACCACCACCATTCTTACAGAGGCAATTTGAAACCTCCAGGGGCCCCAGACAACCTTTTCTCTTTGGACCCTCCCAAGGAGGAGGCCCCAACCCGTGAGCCTCCAGTCCCCCCTCCCAACCCCCTATAGGGCACATCAGCTTAACCTTAACAGAAGCTTGGTGCTAAAAGCATTAATGGTGGGGGGTGGGGGAGGCGTGGCTGCAGGGAACAGCATAAGAATGGTCCTCCCAGCAAGTGAATGGGCCATTTCCCTCAACATCCAGACAGCAGGAGGCCCAGCCCTAGGCTTAAGCAGGCCAGGAAAGCAGTCTGACTTCTCCAAAGCCTTAGAGGACCAGTAAAAACTCAGCGAGTATATTCCCCCGAGTGACCCAAGCCAAGTCCTCCACCCAGGCCTCTCAAAAAAGGGATCAGATCAAACCCCCTGACCCAACTCTTGATCTCCAAGTGAAACCCTAGGCCTGCCACTCCTGATAAGGATCAGGCCAAGGATTTCCTGGGTCAAGAAACTACTGAAACGGGGCCACCTTGTTAGAAAATGGTTTTGGCATGCAACAAGAAACAGTTCAGCCCTCTCCACCACCATAATTAGGTACAAATTTCCAAATGGCTAGACCATGTGATTTTACTTAATTCTCTCACCACTCGACCTTTCTAAAAAGTTTTCAAGGAGGGGGAAACCATCACTTAGGATTCTTCACTCTAGCACCTTTTAGCTCCTCCTGGCAAACTCGTTGGGGCCTTTTTTTTTTAAGTTGGTAAATTTTAATCCCAGTGTGTCCAAAACAAGAAAGAAAAAAAGGATTCCCAGGCTAAGTGTTCATTTTGAAAAGGTTATTACAAAAGACAAGAGGAGACCACGTCCTCCAGCATAGAGGCTGCCTCTCCCATCCCCAGTCATCCCCATTTATTCTAGCCCTCCTCGATCCCCGAGTCTAATCCAACCCTACAGTTACAAATTGTTTTCTACAGTGGCTTGGCTCTGCCCAGAGGCGGGAAGCCCCCAAAATAGCCCCAAGCGCCAGTGTCCCAGGCGAGCCTTTTTACAGGATGGTGTTGAGAAAAACATCGACCTCCTGCGGCCACCACAGGGACCCAGCCCCGGGCGATCAAGGCACCAGGGAGTGGAGTTTACAAAAGGCCCGGACCGACCAGCTCCTCAAGCGCTCTGGGAACCCTCGCCAGGAGAAGACCAGCCACAGGCACGCTCCTTCCCGGCCCGCTCCCGCGCTCCCCGGCCAGAGGCAGCCATTGACACGCACACCTGGCAGGGTCTTTCGGCACATTCTAAAACTGAACTTTCAGTGACACACCCGCTGCGTTTCCCTTAAATGTAAAAACAACCCCCGGGCGAGCGAAGCAACCCTCGGCTGCCGCTGGGAGAGAAAGTGGCAACTGCAAGAGAAACGCCTGACTCATACGCCTGGGCGTTTATGGCCGGCGAGTGGAGTCTGACCTTTCGGTGCGCTCCTGCGCAGCGCCCGGCCCGGCCAAGCGCAGGGTACGGTTCCTCGCGCAGCCTGCCCGCCCCGCCGCCCGCGCCCTCCTCGCAGCCAGGGCAGGGCAGGGGCGCGATTTACCTACGGAGTCTATCTCCAAGAGTCGCTGGAGGTCCCGGATGCTGTGGATCTGACTTCGAGCCAGCCGCTCGATCAACTCCCGGGGTATCTCGGCTTCCTGCAAGCAAACCACACGGTCAGGACGCGCCCAGGGGTTCCAGCCCGGCCCCAGGGGCCACGCAGCTCGACCCGACCCTCGCCAGGCCCTAGAGTCAGAGGATCGGGTGGGGCTAGATGGGACCCCCCCTTTAATTCCTCCACACTATTCCTATCTGTCTGACCTTGGTTAAAAAAAAAAATCCCAACACTGCCTTGACATGTTCAGACAAAAAGCACCCGCGTTCTGGCCCTCCCCAGGGTGTCTGGGGGCAGCCAGGGGCCCGAAGAGTTTCTGGCTTAATAGCTACATCCACATGTAGAAACAGAGGGTCGAAATGCGTCACGCATCTACGACTGGAGTCACAGCAGTCTCAACACTTTAATCTAGCCTGAGGGTTCAATTTCACTCCGGGAATCCTGAGCCGAGCCCGCAGGGGAGAGGGTCTTCGATCTCTCCCCGCTGCCCACCCCCCAACCTACAAGCACGCACGCCGGGTCGCTCCACCCGTCTCCGGCCCAGTCACGGCCCTAGCGCCGACTAGGACGCCCAAATCCATCGGGGCTTAGACTGCAGGGAATGCAAGGAGTTAAATATCCACCTCGCGCCTCTCCCGTCCCTGCCCAGACCACCTCCCACCGTTCGGCCTCCCCCACTCTCCCTCCGGGTTTTTTAAAGGGAGTCAGGGTCGCTGGAGGACTCAACCACGAAGTTCCCACGACAGGGGCTGTGGAAAGTCATTCATCACGGCTAAGCTCCCGGAGAATGGGGGGGGGGTGGCGGTGGGAGGGTGCGGGCGCCTGGCCCGGCCCCAGCTGCCTCCTTCAGCCACCTGTAAGCAGGCCCTGGGCGGGCGGAGACTACTCCAGTCCTGCGTCGGACTGGGTTTGGGGACCGGGAACTGGGGACTGCGGCTGGGCGCTGCCCACCCTGCCCAGTCGCGGGCTTCGGCCGCACCCTCCTCTACCTGCTCACTGCCCGCCCTAGTCCCCTCCCAGGGCACGGTCAGTTTACACACACCCCCTTTCCCGCTGCCCGCACCCCGTTACTGCATTGTCCGCTGCGTTCGGGCTGCCCCTTCTGGAAAGGTACCCACAGCCCCCCGAAGTTTCTGCCCACGGGTTCACCTCGCGGCTCCCCCGTCCCCCTCCAAGGCGGAGCGACGCAACGCGCTGGAAACTCACCAGACACACTTGGGCATGGCAGAAAATAGAACCCAGTTGGGATTTTTTTTTTAAAATTACACCACCCTGACAAAATCGAAATGCTCTTTGCAGAGCTTGAAACAGGTAGCCGAGGGGGGCGTGCGCCGAGGGAGCCCAGAAGGGACAGAGGCGCGGGGGTGGCACCCACCTCGGCCAGGGCATGGGCGAGGTATCCGCAGCCGAGGAGCAGCAGGCAAGCCCAGGTCCTCATCGCGTCCCGAGGCGCTGGAAGCTCGGCAGGGAGGCGAGGCCGCGGGGCGGGCGCTCCAGCCGGGCTCCTGTGGCGGCGAAATTCAGTACCATCCCTCAGGGAGCGCGGCCCGGAGGAGGGTGGCGCGGAGAGCGGGGAGCCTGCGGAGCGCGCTCGGCGCGAGCAGCGAGTGCAGAGCCAGCGAGGAGGAGGAGGAGGAACAGAGTCGCGCCGGGAGCCTCCTGGGCCGCCGGGTAGGGGGTGGGGACGGAAGGGGCGGAGGGCGGGGGCTGGGCTTCTTCCTTGGTGCGTTCCCCGTGCTGGCCGCCGCCGCGCTCGCTCCCCGTCGCTGGCTTTAGGAGCGACCCGGCTGGTAAATCCGCATATTTACTGCCGTCAGCCCCGGGAGGGGACCACGGAGCGTGGCTGCAGCTGCCGCCACACCACCGATCACCTGTCTGGACGCTCGGCCCGGTACCAGCTACCGCCTCGCTTCTCCCTGTGGGCTGCGGGCAGCCCCGAGAGCCTGTCCCCCGGCCTTCCTCTCGCCACTGCCGCCCCGGGCCGGGCACGGCGCGGCCCAGCACGGCGCGGCCCGGTGGCCTGCGTGCGCCCCTCCGCG